ACTGATGTCCGCTGTAATCTTTTCTTGTCTTTGCTAGGCTGCTTCCTTTGGTAAGAGTTTTCTAACTGATATGCCGCCACACGCGTTTGTTTCGATGTGCCAGAATCTTAGAGTGTTAAACGCCGTGCGGGACTACATGGTTGGAATTCCACTTACATATGGACAGTATCCTTTATCTTAATTCAAGAGTGAACCAAATTTTCAGTTGTTACATTTTGCCCAATTGCAGCGTGTGTTGCAGCAAGTCTACACTATGCTAGCCTCCGTAGCAACACGAACAAATTTTTTATTTTTCGGGTTAATTTGCAATTGCTTAAATTGCAATTTCCGCTGGGACGATCATATCTTCATTTAAACTTGTATTTCCGCAGTTCACATCATCTTCAACTAAGTTATCATTGCTCTGATCCCAACTTTTTCGACGAACTTGCGCGGAAACCTTTTCTACGCAGGCTAACACTATGCCAGATAGCTCTTGCGTCGGCACGGAAACCATTCCGGAGAGTGTTTCTGTCCCCACGAGAGAACGATGATTTCGGTGCAATTTATGTAACGGAGCAAAGCTGCGGGTTTAAATTACATTTTTTTTACAGGAAACGAACGAGATATGTTGCTTTTTCTCTTTTTTGAAACGGATATGTTAAAAGTACGTTAACACAGTTTTCAATTTTGTGGCTCTTATCAAGTTCTTAAAGTGGGCTCCATTTTGCTTTTTTGTCCTCTGAGAGTACTCTTTGATTACTCTTCAAAAATTAGCCACTTTTGATGCCTTGACGATCGTCTTAGACTGGAAAAACTAACAATGAAAACCCTTATCGACAGGTGAGTTTTGTTTTTGTCACGCTGCTGTTTGTTGTCTTTTTAAAAAGGTAAAACGTGCAATGCTTATGCATTTTTTGAGGGAGAGGGGGGCGGTAAACAAGGTGTATTGCTACGTAGCTGGAAATGTTTTCATAACAGTGAGCGCTCTCATTGGTTTCTTTGAGGTCACATGACATCTAACAATGAAACTGTTTCCCGCCAAAATCTGTGAGCGGAAAACATTGCAAAATCTATGACGTCATAGGGGAACAGTGCATTGTTACCCACGAATGTATAACCTCGGGAAACATTGAGATTCTCGGAAAACAAATTTAACTGTTTCCCTCGAGACCAGTCATTAAGTGTTTAAGTGTTTATTGCAATGTGAAACGTTCAATAAGTTCCGAGCCTCAGGTGAGAATCAAACTTACGACCTTCCGAGTTCGAGATCGGACGTTGTACCCACTGAGCTGCTGGGGGCTCTATAGTGTGCAGAGTCGAAATTTTTATTGATTATAAACCAGACCTGCTATAGTACATAGTACGAAATAGTACTTTGAAGAAAAAAATAACAAAATGAATATGATGTATGTCCGATAATCTTTCTCTTTTGCCCGACTAAAATGGTGACGTGTTTGGACATAAATCCTTTCTAAATATCAAGATTATTTGCATTCCTACTGAATATAAAACAAGTTGAAGCAAAGTTGTTGTTTTTTTTACTTGCCTACTTTCCGTGTCTAACCCATGTTTACTAAATTGATTTTCCCGCCATCAGATCTGGAGAGGGAATTCTTTGCCTTAAGTTTATTTTATTACCGTTTATTTTCTGCTCCTGTAGGCTTGTTTTGAGGCGTCACTACTGTCTGGCCATAAGAATCTGTGATTACCTGAAGATTCCTAAGGGGGAGGGTGCCAGTCGCATCCTTGGACACTGGGCTTGTTATAAAGTGAGTGTAACCAGCGGATACCGGTTGGCTGTTACCTATATGTAAGCAGGGGTCTTCCTGCAATCAGCTTATTGCTGGTAATTTGATAAAATTGGTAATGGTAAATTATGGTTGTGGCAGTAGACATAACTGGAGTTGGGTGCCCCGTGGTTATTTCATGAGCTCAATTTGGCACATTTCTCTTCTCTTTCAATCTTATAAAAAAGATCTAGATCAAGTAGACTGGATTGTACGCGGTGAACACAGCGTGGCCAGGCGCCCATCGCGTTGTTTTCGCAATCCGCTGGTCCCGGGTTGGAGTCCCACTCTAGCCACTTGCTGAATTTACTCGCGGTCCGGTATTTCCAAGTTCAGATACCCAGTCATGCTTGTAAATAGCCAACTGGTTGCCTCCTGCCAGTTGGGGTTTTTAATCCTGTTGTGTTCTATTTCCTCAGTAAATAAACAGTTGGACTTTCACATGGCTGGGATGATCACATTGAAATTAACTTGTCCGCCCTTGTAGAATACAATAGTGTTCGTAAATAGTTTTTCTTGTGTTGAATATATTGACATCTCTTTCGATCCTTCACTTCTTCAAAAGTTGCTTTTCTTGTTTAAACAGGTTCAGCAAGCCAATGTTGATGATGAAGAGATTGCTCGTGCCATCAACTCCAAGCTCGGAGAGACTCCAGGGATATCTTACTCAGAAATAGCTTCAAAGGCAGTGGACTGTGGACGAACTCACCTGGCCATCAAGGTTAGTTGAGAGCATTCACATGTGAACAGTTTTATTATAGACGTTCCAAGGACAATTTGAGGCATAAAGCGGTGTCCTCCGTTAGTATTTTCTTGCTAAATGCACTGAGCTTAAACAAACGTGGGTTGGTATAAAATTGGATTTTTTTATCTACGAGATTGCTTTTACTGTAGGTAATCAAGAATTTTTTTTTCAGTATCCGGAGTATGAGGACCGCGCTTTGTAATTAGTTCAGCGGTACGCTTTATTATCAGCAACAACACTATGGTGAAATATTACTCAATTGTTAAAGGACTCATGTCGAGAAACAAAACGTACGGCTGCAAAGAAGACCAATGGGGGAATGGAATATGGAGAGATTTAACAAACGAGTTGATAACTTAAATACAAACAAGTTTCATGCTCTAGCCGTTCGTCAGAGCGAAGAAGGGACCCTGAAGCCTCGGAATCATATTAGAATTTTAGTATATCGAACGTGGGCCATTGATCAATATAACTTCTTAACTTTCACCATTCTTCTCTCCAGGGGTTACCAACATGCTCGTCTCATAGGACGTCAACAAAACCTGGAACGGACCGGGTCAGATCAATCCCTGTAACTCACTGAATAACGAAAGGTAAGGGATAGTGCCTCTGGGAATGATCTGATCCGGTTCTGCGGTCCAGGTTTTGCATACGACCTTTCTCGTGGCTTCGCCGTTTCCACGAGGAGACCTGCTTACAGCCTGGCTTAAAGCCAGCCTTGACCTCTAGCTGGAGCAATCTCACCATAGTAAGTTCGTCGTTTGACAATCGGTAAACGAGCCTATCGTAGCCATGCCATGATAGCTTGTCACAGACCCTCTATTTTCTCTTCAAAGTCCGTCGAGCGCGGGGGATAAAATATAAACCGCAGGGGATTATATTTGAAAAGAACGAAAAGAAAAATAAAACAACGTCTGTGTACAGGCTATGCCATGATGCATAATGTATCTTTCAAGATACTCACATCTTCGTGGTCTGACTTTTTACCTGTAGCTGTTGGACTATGAAGCAAAAGCCGCTGACCAAGTTCCATTGCTCATGCGCATGAATAAAGATGACCTAGCGCTCGAGAAGGCCATTATGAGTGGAGACACGGACCTGGGTGAGTTATAAGTGGGTACCACTGCGGAGAACTACAGCTAACTTTATAGTGGATGGGAACAATTTTTGAAGCCCGTTTTTGTTTCGTCGTAGTCGCAAGAGCCGACGTATAGAAAGATCTATCGTAATGTTGAAATTGTACCAAAGGTTTCAAAAATTTAGAATAAGCTTTCTCAGCTTAAAAGTTGGCGTTACACCAGCGGCGTTACAAGCTGAGACAGAGGCTCAAACCTTAAAACATTTTTGAGATTGTTTTGTTGCTCATTATTTGGATCTTCCCTCGCCGTTGACACAATTTCAAGTATATTTCAACCATCTTGATCCTTACGTGCTGTCCTCCAATGGTAACAGCTTTCTCTGGTCAGGTGATCAAAATTGATGGATCTAAACTGCCGTCATCCGAAACCCGCCAAATTGTTTTTCCCCTGTATCTAGATGACATTTCATTTGTGTTGTCTTTTTCTTTCTAGTGTATATGGTTGTTATGCATTTGAAGGATAATCTAACTCTTGGTGAGTTCTTGATGGCCATACGTTACCATCCTGTGGCACTCAGCCTCTACATCAAGGTGAGTCTATAAAAAAAAGTTGCGTAAATGAGTGCGTATTTGTTCAAGGCTTCAACCAAGAGAAAATCCGCCATTATTTGCCAGGAGACATTTTTTCCTTTATCTGTTCATTTTTTTAAGGTCATAAAAATGACGTTATAATGTTTAAAACTTAAGTGGAGGAGTGAGAGGTTTTACGGTAAAGTTTGGAGCATTTTTAATCTCATTTCTTTGAAATGTCGGAGTCGCGGCAGTGAAAAATGGCTACGTATCTATTTGTTTTTTACAATGTCCCGGAGAATCGCACTCAAGAAACAGAGAAGAGAAGAACCTTCAGTTCTGTTTCTCGTCTCTGTACTGTCATAAGCAAAAGTTCTCGACCAATCGGGGCGCGTAAATCACTCGGTTATTGTAAATCATTAGACTGTGTGGCAGGCGTCTTAAGAGGTATTGAAAAAAGTGAAAAAGGGAGGGGTAAAGGGAAGAGAAAAAAAAAGGACACCTTTTTTCATTTCTGCTTCTTTTCCCTTCACTCCCCTCCCCTCTTCTCTCGTTTTTGCACCTGTTACGCAAACTGCCACGCAGGCTATTATGAAACCTATATATTCACTTTGGCATGACTGTGATTTGTCTGCAGTACTGTAAGGATCAGGATCGCCGTACACTTGTGGACCTGTTCTACCAGGATGACCAGTTTATGAACAGTGGTAATGCCTTTGTGCAGGACAGCTACAACGAGAAGGTATCATAAGTAGCTTGAATGCTATCGTGCTTAGGAGGGTATCTCGTCGAATGTTGTTTTATTATTTTATTTCTTTAATATGTAGTTTCAGTTCTGAGCAAAGGGGTGCGTACGCTTCACTCCGTTTCTTCATGGCGTCAGAGATTATTTTTGTTTCCATGACTGTAGGTGGCCACAAAGCTCCCCTCAACCTCATTGCCGGGACGTTTTCCGGTTAGAAAATGGGATAAACCCCTGTGAACGAATGGTCGGCAGCCATCTTGTTTATTTTGAGCGTCAAGAAGAGCCAAGAATACGTGTAGCAACTCTTATTTGTAATTTAACTCGCACATTTCTCGTGTTTAAACTCGAAACCTTTAGCAAAATTCGTTCTATTCAACCAGTGATATCTACTACACATGCGCTAATTGTTGCTGTCCATTTCTTCGTTGTAAATAGTGGCCCTCAATACATGCAGCGACCACGTGACCATAGGAGACATAAGACTACAAGTTATCTGTTATTTTTCACAGGGATCGTACAGCGAACAAAGCGCACGCGCCTGAAAATCGCAGCTCTGCAGGAAAGGCCGTCACGCGAAGGGTTAATTGTTTAGTTGCGTAACGCCTTCCGGTCTCTCTCCCAATCTGCTCCGCAGAGCTTTTATTAACCTTGTCGGGCGGAGCGGTTACTTTTAGTCCTAAACCAAAAGGATCACATCCTTGGAAAAGAGATTAGCGGTCACCTTTTTATTCCTTGAGAAATAAGAGGTAATTCGTTATCTATGAACTGTTGCCGGCCATAGAATAGAATCATCGTTTTGATATCTCTTGTTAGTACACTTGACATAAAATCTGATTTTCTTCTATGTTATTATTTAGACAGTAGAATCCAAGATGAACACATTGTCCAAAGCACAGATGTCTTACCAGCAAGGAGGATTTCAGTTCTACTCAAAGGTGTGTGCTCTTCACTTTGTTGCTTTGATTTAGAATACTTCAAACTCCTTCACGCTAGAGCCACTCATTCCTTACTATGTGAAGAAACGAAGACGGACGTTATGTCTTGTCTAGTAATCTAGGATACGGGATAAACTTGCGATATTCGAACCAAAAGCACCCACGGAAACTCTCCACTCCTCTAGCTGTGTTTGATTAACAAATACCTTGACTGTACTCTGAACTGATATAAATCACGCAGGAGGAAGCGCCGGGCTGGGGCACGAAAGGAGTGTAGGGGGAAGCACAAGACTTAGTCGAGAGTGTTTATCCCTAGTTCTTAAGTGCTTTGTAACATAACAAAGCACAGTAAAGGTTTCTTTATTGGTTTTATGATAAAGAATCCGTTAAATTCGCCACGCATTACTTTCTAATTTTCAAAACAAACTATTGGCAGATGGCGTGAAAGCTGAAGCTCCGTGTTTTATACCCTGATAAACACGCTTTGTCATCCAATCAGAGTGCGCGTTAAAAGAGTGTTTTCACATGATGTCATGGCGTCCATATTGGTGTCCCAAACCAATCCTCTGGGAGTTGAACGCTTTTCTTTATATGCAAACGCTATCTTTTGTTCCAACAAATTTGCATAGATGCTGGCCACGTGAGTGAAAACACTCTATACTGATCTGAGCTATATTATAAATATTAACAAAACATTTCTTGTCAGTGGTGCATTGTAAGGACGCGCGATTCAATTTTCCAGGCAACAGAAGAACAAATGAAACTCATGGAATATCAAGTCAAACTAGAAGAGAAATACAGAAAGACATTCATGGATCTGTCCTTGAGTGATACTATCTACCAGGTGCGATCAGTAACACAATCAACTGTGTTAGCTTTTACTGTGGATTGAGGCCGGTTAACTGACCACCTACCCCTCCCCTAAGTCAACATTAACCCCTATTTCTTATTTAGGGACAAATTGTAACTTAAGGGAGGGGTAGGTAGTCTGTTACTCAAAAATTTCAATTGATCCAAAAATCGTCTGAACCGTAGCTCTCGTTTGAATGATCAAAATTAAGATGTCATCAATATGCTTAATAAACAGTACCGACACGTACAAGCTTTCATTGGAATGGCCATACTAAAAGATTGCCTACAGAATCAAATCTTAGAACTTGGAATCAACAGTATACGCAGGAAATCTCTGTTCAGTAGCTTTCGTTCGAATTGTCGTTCTTAAAGATTTTATCCAGAACTTAAAGTAGTTAAACCCACCTTGCAAAGCACAGTAAACCGCTCTGGAAAGTACTATTAAGTAGCTTTCTTCAATGTCAATTAATTCCCATACATTATCATACTGTCCTGGGGTTAGTTTCTAAGGATTACCTTATACTTTTCAGTGCATACTTCAAGGAGAACCAAAAGTCGCTGAGCAACTGAAAAAGGAATTCAAGGTTCCGGACAAAAGGTTTGTAACATCCTTTTTTTTATCAGGGACCTCGTAAGACGGAAAAACGGCAGACAGGGATTCCTTCCCTTCGTCCTCGCGCGGCCATCACGTTGACGAGCACCTCAGTCATTCCTTCTTTTCCTACCCCTTCAAACTCCTGCCTCATAGTTCAGCTCATTTGCTGCAAGTCATGCATTGTGTTGTCTTCAGGTTTTATTGGCTGAAAGTAAGATCCTTGGCTGAAAGTCACAACTGGCTGGAACTCGACAAGTTTTCCAAAGCTCGTAAATCTCTAATTGGATACGAGGTAAGTTCATTGACAAGGTTTTCCGTAACCTGACATCAGGCGTTACGTTCTTTTGGGAGGAAGGACCGCCGGATCGCAAGGTAGGTTTCCCGAAACCGGAAACGGCTTTGTACCAGAGTCAAACCTTTCTGCAACGGCTCCCTTGACAGCAAAGTGCCTTTTCTAGAGGAGTTGCCATTGTGGTGAAAAAGGGGGCATCTCGGAACTCTCCGGAATACCCCCCGGAACACCCCCCGGAACTTGGCAGTAGGTAAAATGAAAAACACAAAAAGAAACCCTAACCCCACTGTGTAAGATATTAAATGTTCAAGAGTGAATGTACGGACTGTTTGCCGGAATAAAAATGATAGTCGTCTTGGAAAGATGGCCGTTGGTACAGATTCGTCGGTTTTTATCAAAAAGCATTTAATTCTTTTTTTATTATTAAAGACTACGTTCATGAGTTTCCATAACTCAGTCAAACGTTGTGAATAAACATTCCAGTGTGAAGACGTTTTAAATTTTATGTACATTGCTTTCTTACAGCCATTTTTTGAAGCATGCCTGGAATCCAACAACAGAATAGAAGCGGAGAAATATGTCTCCAGAGTTCTTCCCGAAAACAAGGTGGCGTGTTATGTGAAACTCGGGTGAGTTTATCAGTTCATTGAAGTTCTTACTGTGGTCAAAGTGCTGGCTAAACAAACTTACCTTGAGTAGTGGTCACTTGTGTTGCGACTATGCCGATCATCCTTTCCCCCCAGAACCAAGAAGCGCGCACTGACCACAAAATTCTGTTTATAATCCTGGGTGAATGCAAATTCGTAAGGGATTGGGAACAATAACTCGAGTTCTGCACCGCTAATTGATGCTACCCTGAGAAAATAGCTAACAATTTGTGACACCACCACTGGTTTCCTCACGAACTGGTCTGAAGAATTTTCGCAGATATTCCATACTGATGTGACGTGTAGCTTTCTATCAGTAAAAACAAAATTGACTGGTTTGTTGGCTAGGACTCGTCATTTAATTCCTTTGATTTTGATTTAAATATTTGATTTCGGACCCGAAAAGGGACAGGGACTTTCGAGAAACGAGCTAATCATATTGCACCTATTTATAAGCGACATTTTAATTTTTGTGCCAGGAAATACGAAGATGCGGCGGAAACAGCTTTTGCTCAGAAAAGCGAGGATGGCCTGGATCTAGTCCTTGGAAAATGTGCAACTTCAAATCGTCCGTTGGTGAACCGCATTCAAGAAATGAAGGCTCAACTGCGGCAAAGACGATAAAATTCACAGATGGATTATGGGAATGATCTGATCCGGTTCTGCGGTCCAGGTTTTGCATACGACCTTTCTCGTGGCTTCGCCGTTTCCACGAGGAGACCTGCTTACAGCCTGGCTTAAAGCCAGCCTTGACCTCTAGCTGGAGCAATCTCACCATAGTAAGTTCGTCGTTTGACAATCGGTAAACGAGCCTATCGTAGCCATGCCATGATAGCTTGTCACAGACCCTCTATTTTCTCTTCAAAGTCCGTCGAGCGCGGGTGATAAAATATAAACCGCAGGGGATTATATTTGAAAAGAACGAAAAGAAAAATAAAACAAGGTCTGTGTACAGGCTATGCCATGATGCATAATGTATCTTTCAAGATACTCACATCTTCGTGGTCTGACTTTTTACCTGTAGCTGTTGGACTATGAAGCAAAAGCCGCTGACCAAGTTCCATTGCTCATGCGCATGAATAAAGATGACCTAGCGCTCGAGAAGGCCATTATGAGTGGAGACACGGACCTGGGTGAGTTATAAGTGGGTACCACTGCGGAGAACTACAGCTAACTTTATAGTGGATGGGAACAATTTTTGAAGCCCGTTTTTGTTTCGTCGTAGTCGCAAGAGCCGACGTATAGAAAGATCTATCGTAATGTTGGAATTGTACCAAAGGTTTCAAAAATTTAGAATAAGCTTTCTCAGCTTAAAAGTTGGCGTTACACCAGCGGCGTTACAAGCTGAGACAGAGGCTCAAACCTTAAAACATTTTTGAGATTGTTTTGTTGCTCATTATTTGGATCTTCCCTCGCCGTTGACACAATTTCAAGTATATTTCAACCATCTTGATCCTTACGTGCTGTCCTCCAATGGTAACAGCTTTCTCTGGTCAGGTGATCAAAATTGATGGATCTAAACTGCCGTCATCCGAAACCCGCCAAATTGTTTTTCCCCTGTATCTAGATGACATTTCATTTGTGTTGTCTTTTTCTTTCTAGTGTATATGGTTGTTATGCATTTGAAGGATAATCTAACTCTTGGTGAGTTCTTGATGGCCATACGTTACCATCCTGTGGCACTCAGCCTCTACATCAAGGTGAGTCTATAAAAAAAAGTTGCGTAAATGAGTGCGTATTTGTTCAAGGCTTCAACCAAGAGAAAATCCGCCATTATTTGCCAGGAGACGTTTTTTCCTTTATCTGTTCATTTTTTTAAGGTCATAAAAATGACGTTATAATGTTTAAAACTTAAGTGGAGGAGTGAGAGGTTTTACGGTAAAGTTTGGAGCATTTTTAATCTCATTTCTTTGAAATGTCGGAGTCGCGGCAGTGAAAAATGGCTACGTATCTATTTGTTTTTTACAATGTCCCGGAGAATCGCACTCAAGAAACAGAGAAGAGAAGAACCTTCAGTTCTGTTTCTCTTCTCTGTACTGCCATAAGCAAAAGTTCTCGACCAATCGGGGCGCGTAAATCACTCGGTTATTGTAAATCATTAGACTGTGTGGCAGGCGTCTTAAGAGGTGTTGAAAAAAGTGAAAAAGGGAGGGGTAAAGGGAAGAGAAAAAAAGGACACCTTTTTTCATTTCTGCTTCTTTTCCCTTCACTCCCCTCCCCTCTTCTCTCGTTTTTGCACCTGTTACGCAAACTGCCGCGCAGGCTATTATGAAACCTTTATATTCACTTTGGTATGACTGTGATTTGTCTGCAGTACTGTAAGGATCAGGATCGCCGTACACTTGTGGACCTGTTCTACCAGGATGACCAGTTTATGAACAGTGGTAATGCCTTTGTGCAGGACAGCTATAGCGAGAAGGTATCATATAAAGTAGCTTGAATGCTATCATGCTTAGGAGGGGATCTGGTCGAATGTTGTTTTATTATTTTATTTCTTTAATATGTAATTTCAATTCTGAGCAGAGGGGTGCGTACGCTTCACTCCGTTTCTTCATGGCGTCATAGATTATTTTTGTTTCCTTGACTTTAGGTGACTAAAAAGCTCCCCTCAACCTCATTGCCGGGACGTTTTCCGACTAGAAAATTCGATAAACCCCTGTGAACGAATGGTCGGCAGCAATCTTGTTTATTTTGAGCGTCAAGAAGAGCCAAGAATACGTGTAGCAACTCTTATTTGTAATTTAACTCCCACATTTCTCGTGTTTAAACTCGAAACCTTTAGCAAAATTCGTTCTATTCAACCAGTGATATCTACTACACATGCGCTAATTGTTGCTGTCCATTACTTCGTTGTAAATAGTGGCCCTCAATACATGCAGCGACCACGTGACCATAGGAGACGTAAGACTACAAGTTATCTGTTATTTTTCGCAGGGATCGTACAGCGAACAAAGCGCACGCGCCTGAAAATCGCAGCTCTGCAGGAAAGGCCGTCACGCGAAGGGTTAATTGTTTAGTTGCGTAACGCCTTCCGGTCTCTCTCCCAATCTGCTCCGCAGAGCTTTTATTAACCTTGTCGGGCGGAGCGGTTACTTTTAGTCCTAAACCAAAAGGATCACATCCTTGGAAAAGAGAGTAGCGGTCACCTTTTTATTCCTTGAGAAATAAGAGGTAATTCGTTATCTATGAACTGTTGCCGGCCATAGAATAGAATGATCGTTTTGATATCTCTTGTTAGTACACTTGACATAAAATCTGATTTTCTTCTATGTTATTATTTAGACAATAGAATCCAAGATGAACACATTGTCCAAAGCACAGATGTCTTACCAGCAAGGAGGATTTCAGTTCTACTCAAAGGTGTGTGCTCTTCACTTTGTTGCTTTGATTTAAAATACTTCAAACTCCTTCACGCTAGAGCCACTCATTCCTTACTATGTGAAGAAACGAAGACGGACGTTATGTCTTGTCTAGTAATCTAGGATACGGGATAAACTTGCGATATTCGAACCAAAAGCACCCACGGAAACTCTCCACTCCTCTAGCTGTGTTTGATTAACAAATACCTTGACTGTACTCTGAACTGATATAAATCACGCAGGAGGAAGCGCCGGGCTGGGGCACGAAAGGAGTGTAGGGGGAAGCACAAGACTTAGTCGAGAGTGTTTATCCCTAGTTCTTAAGTGCTTTGTAACCTAACAGAGCACAGTAAAGGTTTCTTTATTGGTTTTATGATAAAGAATCCGTTAAATTCGCCACGCATTACTTTCTAATTTTCAAAACAAACTATTGGCAGATGGCGTGAAAGCTGAAGCTCCGTGTTTTATACCCTGATAAACACGCTTTGTCATCCAATCAGAGTGCGCGTTAAAAGAGTGTTTTCACATGATGTCATGGCGTCCATATTGGTGTCCCAAACCAATCCTCTGGGAGTTGAACGCTTTTCTTTATATGCAAACGCTATCTTTTGTTCCAACAAATTTGCATAGATGCTGGCCACGTGAGTGAAAACACTCTATACTGATCTGAGCTATATTATAAATATTAACAAAACATTTCTTGTCAGTGGTGCATTGTAAGGACGCGCGATTCAATTTTCCAGGCAACAGAAGAACAAATGAAACTCATGGAATATCAAGTCAAACTAGAAGAGAAATACAGAAAGACATTCATGGATCTGTCCTTGAGTGATACTATCTACCAGGTGCGATCAGTAACACAATCAACTGTGTTAGCTTTTACTGTGGATTGAGGCCGGTTAACTGACCACCTACCCCTCCCCTAAGTCAACATTAACCCCTACTTCTTATTTAGGGACAAATTGTAACTTAACGGAGGGGTAGGTAGTCTGTTACTCAAAAATTTCAATTGATCCAAAAATCGTCTGAACCGTAGCTCTCGTTTGAATGATCAAAATTAAGATGTCATCAATATGCTTAATAAACAGTACCGACACGTACAAGCTTTCATTGGAATGGCCATACTAAAAGATTGCCTACAGAATCAAATCTTAGAACTTGGAATCAACAGTATATGCAGGAAATCTCTGTTCAGTAGCTTACGTTCGAATTGTTGTTCTTAAAGATTTTATCCAGAACTTAAAGTAGTTAAACCCACCTTGCAAAGCACAGTAAACCGCTCTGGAAAGTACTATTAAGTAGCTTTCTTCAATGTCAATTAATTCCCATACACTATCATACTGTCCTGGGGTTAGTTTCTGAGGATTACCTTATACTTTTCAGTGCATACTTCAAGGAGACCCAAAAGTCGCTGAGCAACTGAAAAAGGAATTCAAGGTTCCGGACAAAAGGTTTGTAACATGTTTTTTTTATCAGGGACCTCGTAAGACGGAAAAACGGCAGACAGGGATTCCTTCCCTTCGTCCTCGCGCGGCCATCACGTTGACGAGCACCTCAGTCACTCCTTCTTTTGCTACCCCTTCAAACTCCTGCCTCATAGTTCAGCTCATTTGCTGCAAATCATGCATTGTGTTGTCTTCAGGTTTTATTGGCTGAAAGTAAGATCGTTGGCTGAAAGTCACAACTGGCTGGAACTCGACAAGTTTTCCAAAGCTCGTAAATCTCTAATTGGATACGAGGTAAGTTCATTGACAAGGTTTTCCGTAACCTGACATCAGGCGTTACGTTCTTTTGGGAGGAAGGACCGCCGGATCGCAAGTTAGGTTTCCCGAAACCGGAAACGGCTTTGTACCAGAGTCAAACCTTTCTACAACGGCTCCCTTGACAGCAAAGTGCCTTTTCTAGAGGAGTTGCCATTTTGGTGAAAAAGGGGGCATCTCGGAACTCTCCGGAATACCCCCCGGAATACCCCCCGGAACTTGGCAGTAGGTAAAATGAAAAACACAAAAAGAAACCCTAACCCCACTGTGTAAGATATTAAATGTTCAAGAGTGAATGTACGGACTGTTTGCCGGAATAAAAATGATAGTCGTCTTGGAAAGATGGCCGTTGGTACAGATTCGTCGGTTTTTATCAAAAAGCATTTAATTCTTTTTTTATTATTAAAGACTACGTTCATGAGTTTCCATAACTCAGTCAAACGTTGTGAATAAACATTCCAGTGTGAAGACGTTTTAAATTTTATGTACATTGCTTTCTTACAGC